TGTGGTGACAATAATGAGTTGTTATTCTTGTGTTAATAGGAACGCAAATAATAAACAATAATGTATTTGTGTTCAGTCTCAGGTCTGCCTCCAGCCTCGTCAGTATCATCAACGAAATCCTCTTAAAATGTGGGCCTTCATTACATAAGAGAAATGACAGTTTGGGGCACAACTAAGGAGTTCGAGAACAAGCACCTACAACTCACCGTCACCGGCCCATCGGCGTACCTATGAGGCTGCGGCAAGTTTGTCGTGAAACGTTACCCCTACTTTGGTGCCGTCCTGATTAGGTTTTGACCTTAAGCTTACCATGTATGAAAGGGGGATACTTTTCATACATGAGAACTTATGAAACCAATTTGTTTTAATAAAGTGAATTTCACGAAATTGGTGATCCGCCAATTCGGGTGAAACTCATTGTGTATTTTGATATGACGACAACGGTCAAAGTCAAATACTACCTACCATAAAGACAATAGGTTGTTGTATTACAAAAAATATTAACATTGTGGTTTGGCTGTCTTTTATACCAGAACTGCTAACTGGTCACCGAGATCATTATTTTTTTATATAATAGTTTGTATTTAATAGTTTGACTTGAGAATAACTTTTATGGTCGAAAGACACAAGCTTACTGACGAGGCCTGAGAAGGCCAGGCTGCCTGAGTGACCGTTTTTAAGCTGTAATATGTTAGTTTTTTTATTTATTTGTGTTCCTATTACACAAAATGACAACTCATTTTTATTGTCACCCACACAATCTTTTCCTTAGAGGTTTTAACCTTCCTTTTTTTTTGCCAACAAAAAACTTTGGTTACGTCTAAAGTCATAAGACTCGGGGGTAGAGGGATAATGACTGTCGTTGTTTTCGGGGGCCTTGTAAATAGTTAATTTTATTTTCTTCTTGTGTTATTCATCACCCGAACTATAACTCATTCTTTTTCCAACTATTTGCGACCCACTCTGTACCAGACGCCTCTCGTTTAAAAAGCGGACGCGCCCTAGGGTTAGCAGAATAATGGTTGCAAGGGTCCCTAAGATACGTTTCTCCAGTTACCCCTGAGGGACTCCTCAACTTTGACTACGAATTTCCCAGGGGGGAACGCAAACTTTATTCACTGCTGTCCCTGGGACTGTATTGCAGTTGTCATCGGCGTCAACCTCACTCTTCCTGCCGTGTCCCAATACTATCTAACTTACGGTTTTTCACGGTCGTGCGGTGATGACCACCTTCTCCGAATTTTTACTCACACCCATAAAGAACCGGCACTGAACGGTATTCTTGCTGTCATGTTAAAGTGGGGTTCGCATGCCACCCTCTAGCGCAGCACGGCCCGCAAGCCCAACCCCCGAAAGAATGCAAAATTAGAAGGAAAAACTATG